CTTGCAATCCCAGCACTTTGGGAGGCTGAGGTGGAAGGACTGCTTGAGCCCAGGCGTTTGAAATGAGCCTGGGCAGCATAGTAAGACCCCATCTCAATAAAATAAAGTACTTTTTAAATTTTAAAAAAAGGGTGATCAGATTCTGCACTCCAGCCTGGGTGACAGAGTAAGACCCTGTCTCAGAAAATAAGAAGAGGGTGGGGGTGAGCAAATTCCAGTGTGGTGGTAAAGACTAGCCCCAAACTGGGAGAGCAGGCAGGGGACTGACTTCCTCCCTCCATGCCTCCTCTCCACGCGGAGACGCCAAGATGGGGCTGAGCAGAGACCCTTGATAGCGTCACCCTCCCCCAGGAAGGGTGTCTCCTGGGCTCGAACACAGCGTGCGGTAGCTATGGGGGGGCGGGACCTGACCTGCATGTGTCTGCCCCTAGCACGCCCAGCTACAACTACGCGCCCAACCCGGACAAGCACTGGATCATGCGCTACACGGGGCCCATGAAGCCCATCCACATGCAGTTCACCAACATGCTGCAGCGAAAGCGCCTGCAGACCCTCCTGTCCGTGGACGACTCTATGGAGACGGTAGGCGCCTTCCCCGGCCCTGCGGGGCTTTCCTGGAGGAACGGAATTGGGTGGGAGGAGAAGGCACTGGCAGGGCCAGATTCTCCGAACACCCTCCCCAAAGCCCCGCCCTCGCAACTCAAGTCCTAGATCCCCCCCGCCCCGTGTGGCAGCCACAAGCGTCGCTACTACATCTGTTCCCAGTACTTACATTTGGAACAACAGCTTTATGGAGATACAATCTCATGCCACGTAGTCCACCTCGGTCTTCACAGACTGACAGACGAGTGCAACCTTCACCACGTCCACTTGAGAATGTTTTCTTACCCCAGAGTGAAACCTCACAGCCCTCAGCCATCACCCCCTGAGCCCCTCATCCCCCAGCCCTAGACAGCCCGTAATCTCTGCCTTCATGGATGTGGCATTCTGGACACCTCGTAGTAATGGAATCAGATGCTCCATGGTGTTCTATGACCCACCTCTTTCTAAGGTTTGCAAGTTCACCCATGGCGTAGCGTGGACTGGCACATCATTCCTTCTTACTGCCAAGTAATATTCCATCGCATGGACAAGCGTCAGACCTATTTACCCAAGGCTACTTAAATTTAAAATCCAGGCCGGGCTCAGTGGCTCAGCCTGTAATCCCAGCACTTTGGGAGGCCGAGGT